ACATTTGCTTAGTTTCATAAATAAAAAAGGTAAACAAGAATGTTGTAGAAGAAACCAAGGCTCACATCAATATTCTTCTCTATAAAACAGGGCTATTAATGGAAACTGACTTAGTTATTGAAAAAGTAAAGTAAGATGATGCTTATGAACTGAATCACTCGGTGCTTAGCTCAGTACAGCACATTATATGTGAGTTATATTGTTTTTGTTCAGGGAGTTCAATGGAGGACTTCCCATCAATTTCCACTGCAAAGCTGGAGCTTTCTTCACATGTGGCAGAAACTCAGACAGAATCCACACTGGCCCCTGGGGAATATAGCCCATCATGCCAGGTGGATCTACCATTGGTGCCTGTTTCCTCCCTTCCTAACTTTCCAGAGAAACAAATAAGCCTGAAACTTTCTGCTCTAGGAAATCCTGGCAGAGAGAGCAGAGCTTGAGGGCCTTCACTCTGCCAGGGCACATCACGTGTGTGTGTGTGCATGTGTGCGTGTGTGTACCATGGACTTTTTGGAAGTCTGCTGATGTCTGTGGACCCCCTTCTCTGATTCAGTGATGGTTTACATACACAAAATATAAAACAAATATAACAAATCTATGATATTGAAGCAACAACTATTTTTTAACTACATTTGTGATACAGTAAGTTTTGCTTTTGTAGTAATGTTTTAAGTTACAAGATCTAGCATCACATCTAAAAAATTGAACTGTCTCAGTGATGAGCATAAATGATGTGCTAACCATCCACCTCAGACCTAACCGGACATGAAAATATCTGTGGATTTCTACTGGTGACTAAGTCAGAGGTAGGACTAAGACTAAGAAATGTTAAAGATTAGAGAAAATTAAAAGATGTAATTCTTGCCCATTTAAATTCTCAGACTCCCGAATTCTGCCCATGGAGCCCAATCTAGGAACTTCTTCTATCATAGTGTACAGCCTCATGTTATGAAACTTGAAGAAATTCTTCCTTTATTAGTAAAAGTCCCCAGCACTATATCTGGCCCATGTTCCATAACACCAGTATAACATGAATGTCATGTGAGTCACCAATGACCTATGCACCAAAGGGCAGTTCACAGAAGTTTCCAACAATAACATTTTGAGCCTCTTATGTTCTTGGCCCTGGGATAGGATCTGAGAAAAGAAAAAGATTTTAGGGTTTTCCCTCATTTAAGGCTTTTTCTTTCTAGACAGAGAAAAGACCTTATTTGCAAGGACTCTTCTAGGGTTCCTATTTAAGAATCCAGCAGAATACTCTACATACTCAGAACATGCCCCTTCAGATGCTTTATCCAAGAATTGCTGACACCACTTCGTGGACAGCTACACAATCACTTAGTGCAGCACCTAATGAAAAAAAATACCTTATCAAATTGGGAGGTTATATAAAGTCATTTTTAATTGACTCCCCGATATGAAGTGCAGAGACAGTGGAGCATGAGGTTGACAGAGGGGGCACTCCCCAATCAGACAGAATTTATTTCAAGTATCAGCTTTGTAATTGTCTAAGTTTATGATCTTGGGAAATTAATTAAACTTTTGACATTGGCTTTCATATCTGTAAAATGGGACTATCATAATAGCACCATCTACCTCATAAGAGTTATCAATTAAATTTAAAAATTACATAAAACTGTTAGTGCACAGCCAGGTAGACACTAAATGTTTGATTTATGAGTTTCTGTGTAATTGGGGATTGATGAAAACAAATCCTTCCTGCTGTTCTTTAAGTAAAGGAAGTGCTGGCTTGTGCCTACATGTATAACTGCTGTTTTTTCTAATGGCAGCAGAAGGGTTAATCCTGCGAGAGTGTGTGGGTGGTTTCTGTTTAGATAAAACCACATCCCAAAGCTTCCTTTCTGCCAGGCTTGCTATTGTTCGGGTTTTTCACCATCTCTTTGAAGTTTCAAGATTGACAGATGTTATTCAATAACTCCTCCCCACCAAGTTTTTATATGTAGGTTTTCAAAAAGAAATCACAGGAAATTTGGGGGGGGGAAGTAGAGCTTTGGTTTCTATAAATTTCAGGGGATTTTCGATTTTTACATATCATTTAGTCTAAAACAAATAGTTTCACATATAAACAGGAATTAAAACTACCAGTGATAAATGAACATGTATTTGGATGTTATGCTCTCTTAAGGAAATGGAGATGCAGCTAAGTAATCATGCAGCTACTAGTTAATTTTCTCTAACTGTGATTATATGTGAAAGAGAATATTCACACTGGACCAAAATGTAGTCTCTCCAAATTCTGGCAGTGTAGCTTTATGGGTTATAAAAATAACACCTCTAAAGGGGTCTGCAAACTTTTTCTATAAAGGATCAGATAGTAAATATTTTAGGCTTTCTGGGCCAGTTATGATCTCTGTTGCATGAACTTCTTCCTTTCTTCTTTTCTGTTTTAAATCAGCTCTTTAAAATTGAAAAGTCAGGCAGGTGCTGGGTTTACTGTGATGAAAATAGGTCTGCTTCACCCATTTTGAGCTTGCGTTCTTATGGGAGTAATAGCCATCAGAGAATCGGACCAATCAATGCTTATGAGACATTTCACTGACAGGTTGGGTACATGAAGCAAATGCTTTCATTGGATACTTCAGATAATAGAGGCAGGGCTACAGAGAGGGAATGCTGTTTCTGTTCTTGCACCTGCATATTATTTCATGGGCCCCCTGAGTTCTGCTCTCCTGGCTTCTATTTTGCTGGGTAACAGGAACAGTCCATTCCTCTCCACAAGGGCTTTCCTTTTTTCATTTTGCATTTCTGATACTTTCTCTCACTGCTTTGTCCCACCACTTCTGTCCCTTGCCCTGCTTGTCTCTTTGTTCTATTCTGGCCTCCCCAGGGTGAGTAAATTTGAGTTTTCAAGAGACCGTCACCTAATGGTATACCTTTTCTTTTTCTTGTTAATGTATGTATTACTGTATCTTCCCCCAAAATAGTGCTTTTTCTTTCTTCTTGGTTGCTGAAATTCTCATTTTAGTGGTTACTTTTCCAATTTTTAATGACAAAGAGACCTAAGGTGTTTTGGTTTTTTTTTGTTGTTGGTTTGTTTTGTCTAGAATAGTCAATGAAAGTTGGTATTTCCCCTTAGAACTTAATACTGAATCATAAGAAATGTAAACACTCCAAAGTGACATGGCACTAGTTTCAGTGTCCACTGTGCTTTAAGTAAGGTCCAAGACAATTTAGGTAATGTACCCACTTTGACCTTTTTCCTTTCTGTTCCTTTGTACAGAGTTGTCAGCTTGGGAGAATTATCTTCCTTAAACAGATCATATATTATTACTTCTGCTCTGCCCTCACCCATGTCATTTAGAAGTACCTTTATATTACAACATTATATAAGTTTTAGATGTTCCTTAAGAATCAGCATGTGCACCTGCTATATCACATCCTTATTTTTAACATAACATTCCTTTTTCCCACTCTTCATTGGCCAATAGATGGTTAACGCCATTAGGCAAGGACCAATGTCGGTCCTTGCCAAGGTGTCTTCAACAAACACTTAGCTGGCATAAATTTCTGGGCCTTCTATGCAATGCCAGAAGACTGGCATATATTGCCAGGCATTTGTATACAAACCCAAATTCCTCTTTGAGGACAGTGCCTTACCCATAGAAGGCACCCAGTAGTGCTACTTATTGAATGAATCTAGCATCTGAGCATGAGACCTGCTCATTAATGGATACCTTTGAGGAAAGGTCAATGGGGTATTAAGCAATAGAATTCTGACATTCATGCCCGATGGAGACAGATTAGCACAAAGCTCCCACTGAAATGTAACTGCCTTTCACTGTCCCCCACCCATTGAAAAATTCTATCCATGTCTTTTTTTTTTTTATATTTAAGGAGCAGGTTTATTAGGAAAAGGGATAGAAGAATAAAGGACACTTGCATAGACACAAGCAGGCAGAAAGAACTGCCTCCATGTCCCTCTTCACAAGAGGAGAACTCTCTAACCAGAGCCAACCCAGGCCAGCACATGAACCAAAGTTTGATGTACAAAACACCGTAATTAAATAACTGATGCTAACGACTCTTTCATCAGTCCCTAGGGCCTGCCTGCATCACTGCTCTAAGTCAGAGGACTGGCTACATTTCCTTCTTTAACTTCTCACCTTTATACATACAATTCTGTTACGATTAAATATTCCTGTTCTTTGAAACTATAAATCACATACATCCTGAAAAGAGCAATATTGGGTGGATATGAAGTAATTGACTTCCAGAGAGGTCATTTCCATAAATTCTCCTCCCCATCCCCATCCCCGATAGGCCCAGAGCTGGTGTTCAAGGATAGCCTGAAGTTGACCGCAACAGGACAGGTGGGAGTGTAGAAGAGGGAAAAGACTGTGGCGTAACTGTGACAGGCTCTTGCTTCTCCCCACGCACCACATATGCAGTTTTCTGCACACAGGTTGTCCTTCCATAGTCCCAAAGCCTCCTGCAATGCCTTGAGCTTAGCACTTTGTACATGCTTTGTTCATGTATTCAGCACTTACTGAAGACGTGTCAGGTGCTAGGTGCAGTTTACAGTGGTGAGGAGAAAGAGGTGGTCCCACCCAGCATGGAGTTTTCAGTCTGCTGGGGCCAGGGAAAAAAGAGAAAGTCAGATAGGAAAGCAGTAAGATATCACTGCTATTTAATGGTTGTTATCTAATAGTTAATTTTCATTGTGTTAAATTGTTACACAGAAATATGTCTAGGGCTTTGAGAATAAATCAAATATTTCCCCAAGTTTCCCAAGATTTCCTTTAGGGAGTGACATTTCAGTTGAAGTCTGAGGGGACATTGAATGGATGGCCAGAGGCAGGAAGACTGGACAAGTGCCCACTAGTTAGTTTCCTTTCCTGGAATGAAAATTCACAATATATCACCCACATCTACACAGAGGCTAAAACATAAAGATGCCTGCGGTATGTGGTGTGGCCCCACTTACTCCCAGTGCACAGCTATGAACCCAAATTTTTCTCTTCCTTGTTTTGTTTTCCCAGGAGATGTTCCCACAACCAACCCTGACTTGTGGTTAGTAATATTCCAAGTCACTGGCGTCAGCCTCCTGCCTCCACTGGGGATCACCATTGCGCTCATTGTGGCCTTCTACTGCTACCGCGTTCACCGGCGCCAGAAGCTGAGCCCCTCCTGGGAGACCAGCAAGCCGCGGAAGCACATGGAGTTCAGCGAGCATCTTGCCATTATTCTGGAAGATGACCGCTCCGACATCAGCTCCACGTGTGCCAACAACATCAACCACAACACGGAGCTGCTGCCCATTGAGCTGGACACTCTGGTAGGGAAAGGCCGCTTCGCCGAGGTCTACAAGGCCAAGCTCAAACAGAACACTTCTGAGCAGTTCGAGACCGTGGCGGTCAAGATCTTCCCTTATGAGGAGTACGCCTCCTGGAAGACAGAGAAGGACATCTTCTCGGACATCAACCTGAAGCATGAGAACATACTCCAGTTCCTGACGGCCGAGGAGCGCAAGACAGAGCTGGGGAAGCAGTACTGGCTCATCACTGCCTTCCACGCCAAGGGCAACCTCCAGGAGTACCTCACGCGGCATGTCATCAGCTGGGAGGACCTGCGCAAGCTGGGCAGCTCCCTGGCGCGGGGCATCGCACACCTGCACAGCGACCACACCCTGTGCGGGAGGCCCAAGATGCCCATTGTGCACCGGGACCTCAAGAGCTCCAACATCCTTGTGAAGAACGACCTGACCTGCTGCCTGTGTGACTTCGGGCTTTCCCTGCGTCTGGACCCTACTCTGTCGGTGGATGATCTGGCCAATAGTGGGCAGGTGAGTCGTCTGGGGTTTCCCCTGCATCGTATTCCTGGGCCCATCCTACCTTTGATCCTTATGTCTTTTGTCTCCAATGGTGCTACACCCTGGACATTTGTCAGAAAATTAGCCAAAATGGGGAGTTCACTTTTTGCACCACTGCTCTCACCTCTAGGGTGCGTGACTAATAAATCACATTTCTCCTCCTATTTTGTCTAATCCTTCCCTATCCAGAATAGACATTTTTCCTCTATGTCAGCCCTCCTTTCGCTTCCATTTGTGCGTTATTTGCTATAGACACTGTTCTTCTTCCCGCACAACCTCTTATGGGTGTTCTCAGCACTTTCTTTGGACTATTTATATTGCTGGGGTTTTTATCTTTTTCTAACCATTCTAGAAGGCAATCTCTTTGAAGCCCAAATCTACCGCATTTAGTCACATGTAACAAAGCCTTAAGAGTGAACGTGACCAATACATATTTATTGTGTGAGTAATGAACTATTCTACCTTTTGAAGCATCTCAAAGATTCAAATAGAAACTTTTTTAGCTATGAAGCACTTGGAAAGTAAGTAGAAATTTCCACGCTATCCTTCATGAGTGATGGGTCCTGTGTTTTCACATATCAGAAGGCTGACTGTATTAGCATGGGTCTGGAGCACCCTGTGGCTTTCCTATCTAGTAGCGGGACGAGCTCTGACCCTCTGGCTCAGGCTGCACGAACACTGGAGGTAAACATCTTGAAACATGTGCAGACTAATCCTCCAGGGTCATGAGTCATGCAATGACCTATTAAAAAGAAAAATTTCTTCTATTACATGCTAATAAGAACCATTCCTTGAGATGAGACTGTCAACTCACTTGACCTTCCTTAGATCCTTGGGAAGGCAAGACTTCATGTAGTTGGTCAAGTTGTATGTGCTTAATAGAAGCCTTTTCAGTGATTCCCTCCCTAGAAACTAGAAATATCTTTTCCTTTTTTCCTCATGGATCCCAGTGTTTTCACATTAATAGTCATCAAAATGATGGTACAGAATGACCATTAAATTATAAAACGATCCAGATTTGGCCTTCTATGGAGGAAATACTTTCATGTGATTTGATTTAGTAGAGATGTTATGATATTGTACATCCTTGGCAGAATAGAATATGCCACAGGATAAGCATAGATGATTAAGATCATCCTTAAGTGACCAAGACTAATGGCAATTATTTTTATTGCTGTTTTCACCATAATTCTTGGAGTTTTGGGGATGAGAAGATAATTTCATTTGCAAAGACAAAAATTTAAACATCTAAGTATCACTGTTATTGTATCCCAGGTTATGTTATTTTATTATGTGATAACGTATATCATGGGGCTGGATAAGGAGGCTCTGGAGTCTGGCATTTCCTTACGTTGGCATGCTTTGTTTATGTTCTCTAAAGGGTTTTCAGGGAGAGAACATCTATTTTTAAAAGTAATTACATGAGCTGTACCTTTCTGCACAGGTCTCATTATTTAAAAGAGCATGGCACTTTTTAAAGGTCATCTGCACATGTTGGGGACCAACATCAACTGTATTTTGAAAATAAAAATGTAGCTGGTGTTAAATGATGAATGTCAACCTCTGTTTTTGCTTTAGGTGGGAACTGCAAGATACATGGCCCCCGAAGTCCTTGAGTCCAGGATGAATTTGGAAAATGTTGAGTCCTTCAAACAGACAGACGTCTACTCCATGGCTCTGGTGCTCTGGGAAATGACATCTCGCTGCAATGCAGTGGGAGGTATGTGGGGACCACCCTTCTGGAGTAGTGGATGCATTCCCAACGTGATGTCATTTATTTGCTTCAGAATGATTTCAGGGTGACAAAAGAGTTAATCTCCCAATGGGAGCTGGTTGTCTTCAGTCATTCCAGAACAATTAGGAATTGTGCTAAAATAAAAAAATCCTGGCTTTCAAGTAGAAAGCCATGTTTGTAAAATAACATTTTCTATCTTCTTAAGTTTAATTCTTTTTCTCTTGACATGTCTTTCCACAAATGTTTAAATATGTTGCAATAGATGAACACTAACATTATCTATAAGAATTATTTCTACTGATGCTTTACAGAAGCATCTATTTTTATTTTTTATGTTAAGATTTTTAAGAATTGCAAGGTCCAAGAGAAAGTTTTGAGTCAAAATAGGCTTTTATGGATAGGACTTTCCTTTATTGGACAAAACAAGCAGAATGGTTTGATGTACCTGTTTAGTTTTTGAAATATCTAGTGAAGACAGGTCAGGCAGTATTCCTCAGGGGCATAGAGGAGTGTTATTGTTTTAGAGACTATTGTCCCCTAATCTTCATGGAGAATGTCTGAGATCTAAATTCTCTGTCCTTTTCTGACTCTGTAGTTTCTGTCAAGGTCTTAGGTCTCCCCTGGGACAGTTATGATCCCAACCTGGTCCTCGCTGGCTCCTGAATCAAGCCAACTCTCTCCAATTTTATAATTCTTGGTTATAATTTTAGATGTATAGTTACAAAATTATGATAGAGTTCCTATATACTTATCACCTAGTTTTCCTCCAATGTTAACATCTTACCTAAACTCTAAACACAGCTGTCAAAACCAGGAAATTAACATTAGCACAACACTCTTAATTAATCTATAGAACTTTTTCAAATGGCCAAGTCCCCAGGAATGTCCTTTTCTGGAACAGGACCCAACCCAAGATCCCTCATTATATTTGACATCATTGGCCTCTTATTGTCTCCAACTTGTTAGCACTTCTCAGTCTGTCTTTATCTTTCATGAGCTTGACACTTGTGAAGAATTTAAGTAATAATTTATTAAATGGGCTCACTTAGAGTTCCTGTTTTTGCATGCTTAGATTGCAATCATGCATTGTAAGCAAGAATATCATAGAAATAATTGCCCTTCTTACGCCTTGTAGCAGGGCCCACATTTGCTGAGGTGCCTGATTACTGATGACATTCAATATGCCATTTGATCAAAAAGGTGTATGCTAGATTTGCTCCCTGTAAAGACACTATCTTTCCACTTGTAATGAATATGTATCTTGTGAGAAGTTATTTTTTTCTGTTTCTAAAGATACAAAACACTTTCTTGTTAAGGATACTGGACATGTTTCTTATTATACTTGTATAAACAGCTAATTTTAGGATCAATAATTCTTGCCGGCAACAATTATTATTGTAATGTTTGCCTAACAATGATTTTCTAATTATTTTGTTCCTTCTATACTTAATAGGTCAGCTACTGAAAGGGAGATCTGTCCATTCTCTGTCACCCCCTGTTATTTATTCATTTAATTATGTGTTTAGATCAGCATGGAATTATGGATGTTCTGTTATGCTATGGCCATCCAATGTTTTCAATATTTATTCTGTGGCTTTGGCCACTGGGCCAAGCTACTCAACATTTTGCTCAGGTGGATTTAATTGGCACTGTCATTGGTTCGAATTCCTCATCCCTTTTAGAATTTGCTTTGTTTACTTTCCAGAATGAGTCCAGGTCACCTCCTGCCACTGACCTTCTAACTGCACCAGCACCTCCTTCCCTGGGTTCCCCACATGGGGATGGCACGTGACTGGCATGGTTATTTTCTGGTTTCCTACTTGAAATTTCTACCCCCACAGCACTTCCAAAAGTAACTTGGTTTTTCCTTGCATAGTGAAATTTGTTTAACCAAGTTTCAGCAACCGAGAATAATTTTCTGCTTGAAAGCTTTGACAGTTCCAAAATGCATCCTTTGACTGGTATGAGCCGTGTGAGAGACGATGCTGTTGTCACTGTCAGAATAAATTTACCTAAATTTTGGTATCTTTTCCTTTGCTTTCAAACCTGTTATTCTACAAACATGAGCTGGAGAATGTGTCTGTCTTTCCCTCTATCAGCACAGCCAGCTTATTAAGGGCCTGCGAGCTCCTGCTTTCATTGTTATCAATGAATGAAGCCCTTTCCTGTTGATATTTGCTGAGTGTGGAAGAATTGGGCTAATGGGGAAGAACTGAGTTCACCGATTTTTGCAAGGTCTAAAAACGGATACAGTATAAACAGGTTTTCGCAAGGAAGGAACAGGATCTCATTTGTTCAGCTAGTCTCAAAAAAAATATATCTTTCATAACCTTTAGGATAAGAACAGACGGCTTTGGGGGAACCGGAAAGAGGCCATCCCATCCCGGTCCATGTTTTGTTTGATCTTAAGCCCACAGTCCTGTTTCTCTCATCTCCGCTCCGGCTGCAGAAGCCAAAAGTTATTTCTCTATCCTCATTTTGGTCCAACAGAAAGACCTTCACTTGGTCAAGTGCTTGAACTCACCAAGTAGGCCTCTTCTTTTCCCGTCTTTTGAAATTTTTTTCTTCTTTTGGTACATTTAAAAAAATTTAAGATCTATTTTTAACCTAGTCTTAATTCCAGAGATTTTTCTTTTATTCCCTTCAAAAGTACATATTACCTGAAGAGGCTGCACCCTCTCCTTCCTATTGTAGAAACACACACATCATGCCCTCAAGAACCTGCAATCTACTGATACAAACTAACTTTTTCCTTAACTTCCTAAAAGTTTGCATATGTGGACACATGTCTTACCTTACAAATAAGACATACCGATTTCTGCTACTGGTCATTTTAATTTACAAGGTCTAAGAAAGGCAGAATGGAAAAGGGGTTTCCTTAAGTTAAAGCAAATCTTTTCTGTGACTGAAAATGCAACCTGGGTAATTACTGTCTTCATTGACGGTCTTATTTCCAAAAAGGAAATTGTGGACTATGCTCTCCTTAGTGTGCTGGTTTACAAGTTGCTATTTTTTTTTTTTAAGATTTATTTATGCATGCAAGAACTGGCCTACTGGTTGCTATTTTACTTGGCGACATAGAACATCTTCTATTCCATCAGTTCATTCTGAGTGCAGAACACCTAACTGAAGGAAGCAGGAAGCAAGCCTCAGGGGACAGAGCTGCAGGCAATGCAAAAATCCCAGCTTTCCTCTCTCTAAGTGACTCCATTCTGCTCCTAGGGTGGATCCCAAACTCTTCACATGGGTGCAAGACCCATACCTTGCTTCCCTCTCCAGATTCATCTCTCATTCTGCATTCATCATCATGAAAGTCTTTCAAGTGCTGGCTCTAGGATCTCCCATGCTGCTTACTGGGACAGGAATGCTGACACAGGCTTTTCAACAGGCAAAGGAGTTTGGCTGTAATTAGTACAGCACAGTTAGACAGAGGCACAGGGATGGCCAGGCCATCTTGGCTGAAGGGAGTGCAACAGTGGGGTCAGGCACGGAGGGTTAGGTTAGCTGTGGAAGGAAGGGTCAGACTCAGAGGTGATCTCTTAGTTGCTTTTTGCTCAGCCAGCCTCTTGCATTGCAGCACCGGGGGGAACATGAGGACACAGCGCTACTCTGGAGAAGCTTCACTCTTATCAGGGAGAATTTGTAAACAGATAATAGCATCATTCTGAAGCTGCTGGAACAGCTCCATCAGCACAAAATTTCTAGGAGCACAAGAGATAGATTGTAGTAACTGCAAAAATGTGGCCAAAGGGAACCGCTTTCTGGTAGAAATAGGTTTTGTCCAGAAGAAGAAAGCATGAAGGAATAGTAGTTACTATTACTTGAGCACCTACTTCATGGTTCAGTGCCATTTCCAGAACTCTCTAAAGTAGTTACTGGCTTAGCCCCATTGCACAGAGGAGAACACCAAGTCTTCAAGAGGGGGAAAGCTGTGGAGTCAGGCCTCAAAGCCTGGTTTTTTACTCTAGCCACTGACTTTTGCCTCCTGGTATGGTGTGGGCCTGAGTGATAGAGAACAGTTTGCAAGCAGCAGCGATGCTTCCCATTACTATTATAATTATGAAGAGGTAGCAAATGCTTGTTCATGCATCCTGGCCTTTGACATGAAGCCTTTCTATTGTAGAAGGTCCTGGCAAAACAGTCACACGCTAGAGGAACATTCAGTAATGGCTTCACTTCTGAGAGCCTCAGTGATGGACTTTCCTCTCTGTAATCTGAGTGAATCTGTTAACAGAATCCCTAGGCTGTTAAAGACTGGAGCACATGATAGTCTCAGTTCCTCAAAGTCTGAAATAACTCCCCTAACCTTCTTTCTCAGAAGATACATTCATTCATTCTTTCTCAGAAGATACATGCATTCATTCTTTCACTGAACAAATATTTATTGACTGCCTATCATTTGGCAGGTGTTATTCAAAATGCTAGGGATATAGCACTGAAAAATAAGTCTGTGCCCTCAAGGCACAGGAAGTCTAGTGAAGAGCTAATTTTAGAGAAAGACAAGAAATGGGCAAATAGGTAATCTAGTAAGATCTCAGGTGGGAGAAGCTGGGTGTGATGATTTTAGAAAGATAAAGCAGAGCAAGGGGGTAGATAATGACAAAAGGTGTTAGTTCAGACATGTGGATTGTCTGAAAAAATATGAAGGAAAACTCAGAAAATGGGTCTCTTAGAGTTTAGTCGAAGAGAGAACAAAACAGAAGGTGGTGATTGGTGTTTTACACTTTTATAAAGACAGAAAATTCATGAAATAACCCTTCAGCAAGGACAAACCCAGAGAGGGCTCTCTCTCACACAAAGAAATCTCTGTCAGGCTTGGGGTTTGTTTGGTGTTGGTTCGAGTGTTTGTGTGATGAGTGGGAAGCAGAGGCAGATGAAGGCCGAGGCAATGGTGGAGGGGTGTTTTGGAGAGGTCAGCAGGCACAATATTCACGTCACCCCCAGCCCAAACCTGCCCACAGGCAGACGACTTCCAAACCCCTAGC